TTTTAATAATTAAATATATTAAGGTCACAATTCCATATAATTTCGTTACAAATTCCATATAATTGATCACATATTATTAATTGGTCACAAATCACAATTTTCATATGTCACAAATGATTTTACGATCACAATTCAAAAATTTTATAGGTCACAATTTGTTTATCGATCACAAATAAAAAATTTATACGTTACAATTTATTCATCGGTCACAAATCTATCAAATTAACAAGTCGCATTTATTTATTGGTCACAAATCACAAATTTTATATGTCACAAATTTTTTTACGGTCATAATTCAAAAAATTTATATATCACAATTTGTTCATCGCTCACAAATCGAAAATTAAAACGTCACCATTTATTTATAGTTCGCAAATCACAAATATTATAAGTCACAACTTAATGAACTATCACAAATTGTCAAATTATCGATTACAAATTAACAATTTTTTAGGTCATATATTTTTTTTGTCATAATTTGTCTTTTTCATTAAAATTATCGATCACTAATTAACAGTTTTTTTGATCACGCGTTTTTTTTGTCACAATTTATTTTTTCATTAGTCACATATTGTTTATTGGTCACAGATTAACCAATTTGATAGTCACAATCAACCAAATAATTTGTGACCACAATCAAACTTGTGACCATTACCGCACCATTGCCACCGTCGCCGCCAGAACTACCACCATCACCTCGCGACAGCAACATCACACCTTAAACAAATTGACTCATCGCAAAAAACCCCACCACGACGTCGCACGATCCATCGCCACCTGGAGAGACCCATCGCCACCAACATCTTAACACCAACACCACCACCATCACCAAGATCCACCACCTCCGCCACCAAAAAAACCACAGCCACCATTACATCTAACACAACTTCCACCTCCAACACAGTCACCGTCACCGTCACCGTCACCCAAACACCAACACGACAACCTCACCTGATCCAATCACAACCAAACATCACCAAAACCACCACCACTAGAACAAGCACCACAACCATACATCACCACCACCTCAATAGATCTAATCGAATGAGAGCACCATTGCACTATCCAAAATGGGAAATCATACAGGAAGAGACTGTCAATAAATCTATGGTTTATGGATGTTTTTCCTTTCAAAACTGTGTCGGTTTTTGAAGCCATATTTCTTGTTTCTACTCTATGTTTCTTTTTCATCTGTTGCGGCTGCCATTCTGATTAACTAGCCATGAATTAACACAGAGGAGAGTGGAAGAGAACGGCAAAGAGTGGAGAGAAGGAAGAGAGAGTGACGGAGAGAATAGAAGGAAAATTGAAATTAAATTGATTAGGGTTTGGATGAAAATTATACAATTAATATTTAATATTAAAAAATAAAATATCTGATTTTTGAAAAATGAAACCTTCAATCTGATTTTTGAAATTGAATCTTTAAAATTCTGGGTTTGTGTAATTTCCACTTAAAGGAATTTGTTTGTAATGTTTTCAACGTATTTCAATTTCTTTTAGGGTTCGTTTGATTGTAAGAATAGAACTTGGGTGGAAAGAAAATGAATTGTAGGGAATTGAATTCTTAGAATTATTTTTCTGGAAATTGTCAATTAATTGTATTTGATTAGTATAATTTTTCACGTGAAAAATATTAAAATATTGAATATTTTGATGTTCATTTGATTTTATTTTACATGAAAATTGTCTATTTAAGGGATATAATTTGTTGCGATTGGAGATATAATTTATTTACATTGCTAAAAAAAAGGTAGAAAACTATTTTTGCACTAAATTGGTGGGGAAACCAATTCAATGAAAATCAAGAAAAGGGGGTCACGTGGGGGCTTGGGGGCAAAAAACCATTTACCAAGAAAATTTTGCCTATCAAATAAGCAAAAAGTTGGAATATGGAAAATAATGCATATCAAATGGAACCTTAGTTTATTTTTATTTTACTTTTGATCTTTTAAGGATGGAATATGACAGATAGGACAAGACAAGGAAAAGTGTTGGCATGCAATGTTCTAAAAAACGTAAAGTGTAGTTAGAAAGGTTTTAAACTTTATGAGTTTAAACAAATCTAGGCTATTGATAAGTACGTTTTACATACTTATTTTATTGTCAAAATATGAGCAATTGTTGATTAATATATTGGAATATAGCTTAATTCTATGCAATTCATGTTTTGCAGGACAAGTGATGAATGTGGCGGAAATAATTAGAAATAAGTGAAAAATAACCAGAATAGAAGAAAGTGAAAGTTCAAGGACTAAAGTGCAAATACTCAAAAATTATGTCGGAACTCACGATGAAGTGGNATATAGCTTAATTAAATGCAATGCATGTTTTGCAGGACATGTGATGAATGTGGCGGAAATAATGAGAAATAAGTGAAAAATAACCAGAATGGAAGAAAGTGAAAGTTCAAGGACTAAAGTGCAAATACTCAAAAATTATGTTGGGACTCACGATGAAGGTTCGAGAGTGCTAAGGGTCGATTGTAAGCAATTAGAAGTCAAAAAGGAATTGAATATTATCAAAATCAATTTCCAATTCGCACAAGATATATTCCAGATTTTTAGCCGAAAATTGTGGCCCATTTTTGGCATAGTAAAAGTCAGAATTGGAAAAGCGCTATCTAACAAAGTTATAGCTCTTCGAGTTATATTTTCAACGTATTTTGAATAATCTAAATCGGATATCAGTAGAGAAAGTTATAACCAAATTACTGACTGCTATGCATAGACAAAAAATCCGCGCGTGAAAGCAACTTTCCTTATTCGATTAGAACTCTTTTGGAAACCAATTTGGACGTGATTTTCATCCAATTTCCGACATTTACAAATACTTAACAGCAGAATACATATGGAGAAGACCCCTATATACCATTCTTCTCCTCTTTG